TAAATCTGGAGATGCTCGGGAACTGCGGCCAATGGGAGCCATTACAAACATTGAATCTATCTCCCCTTGTAAGTATTCTCACACTTCTTATCAAACTGTCTGTACTGGGCTAGCTTGATTATCACTTCAAAAGTTTTTTTTCTCTTAATTAATTGGCCTCTCAGAGTTGGTAAGACAACTCCCACCTGTTTATGCTCTCTGTATGTGTGTATATATATCTCCTCAATATTTATTCCACTCTATATGCATCCGAAGAAGTGGGCTGTAGTCCACGAAAGCTTATGCTCTAATAAATGTGTTAGTCTCTAAGGTGCCACAAGTACTCCTGTTCTTTTTACTTTGTCCTTTGCTCATTTTGGGTACCTATCTACAACTGGGTGAGCATCACCAATCCCAGGGGAGAAGAAACTGTAATGATCATGCTCATGGCTGCGGCAAGTGCAGAATGCCAGGCCTCCAACAGGGACTGTGGGTGTTGCTCTGAGCATGCTCTCCATGCTCACTTACAGATTTACTTACCTTATCCCACTCTTGCAGGGAATCAACCTTCTTTTGCAAGAACTCTGCCATTCCAGCTCCCATCTTGTGACAAATATCTGCAATCACATCTCGATACACCTTTGCCAGGTTCCTGAACTCCAAGGAGATCTACAGCAGAAATCACAAGGAAATATACATAGTGCTGAAAGTGAAGCAGAATTTGGCATTCATTCACAGGCTAAGAGAACGATAGGTTACAGCGTAATGGGGTTTTATCCTGCTCCCCACTGAAGGGATTGGCAAAATTCCCCACTGGCTTCAATGGCAGCAGATTCAAGCCACTCAGCAGTAAACACAGATTCAGCAAGTTCTTAAACAAAAATTCCTCTGATCTTTGGCCACAGCTCAGATGCAGGCTGTATCTTCATGAAGACAGTAGGACTTTGGGCAGCATCACTTGGGAGTTCATGAATGACGGACTTACAACAATAAACTCTGTGGGAAGAGTCCCAGCAAGTGAACAGCAGGTAAACTGATGGGAACAGTGAAAAGAAAAGCTCTCCAGTGTTCTTTTGAAGCTCGGCTCTCTATATCCTCCCCAAGGCCCATCTCCCCAGATGTCAGCATGTGTGGATTGCCACTGGATGCCTTTCTCCCAGGCAAAGCAGCATGCTCACATCACGCCTAGCCTCAAACTGCTCACACGGCTCTCCATGTATTCCAGAGCCTAGTTCAAAGCTGCCCTCCTTGTTCTTAAAAAAAGCAAAATGCCAAAACTTTTGAAAAAATCTCCAAGGGCATGATGGAGAGAGGCCACAATAGGGACTCAGAGCAGTGCTGTGTGAAAGTCAAGGAGCTCAGACAAGCCTATCAGAAAACAAAGGAGGCAAACGGTCGCTCCGGGTCAGAGCCGCAGACATGCCGCTTCTACGCTGAGCTGCATGCAATTCG